TTGTGAAAATGTCAATTCTACCCAAAGCAATCTACAGATATAACGTAATCCATATCCAAATAACTAACAACAGCATTCTTTAATGAGATGGAAAAACTAATCACCAACTTTATATGAAAGGAAAGAGGTCCTGGATAAGCAAAGCATTACTGAAGAGAAAGAAAAAATAGGAGGCCTCACACTACCTGATCTCAGATTCTACTATCTAGCCACAGTAGTCAAAAAAGGCTGGTACTGGTACAATGATAGACACAAACACCAACGGAACAAAATCGAGAACTCAGATGTAAATCCATCCACTTATGGTCAGCTGATCTCTGGCAAAGGACCACAGTCCATTATATGGGGAAAAGACAGTTTTTAACAAATGGTGCTGACAAAACTAGATGTCGTTCTGTAAAAAATGAAACAGGACCCATAGCTCACACCATACAAAAAAAACTAACTCAAAATGGATCCAAGACCTAAAAATAAAATCTAAAACAATAAAGATTATGGAAGAAAAAATAGGGGCAATGCTAGGGGCCCTAATACACGGCATAAATACAATACAAAACAAAACTTACAATGCACAAACACCAGAAGATAAACTAGATAGCAGGGAGCTCCTAAAAATTAAACATCTATGGCTCATCAAAAGGTTTCACCAAAAGAGTAAAAAGATAACCTACAGACTGAAAAAAAAATTTTGGCTACAATATTTCCAACAAGGGTCTAATCTCTAAAATCTACAGGATACCTCAACACCTCAACAAATAGACAAATAATCCAATTAAAAAATGGGCAAAGGATATGAACAGATACTTCACCAAAGAAGACAATCAGGCAGCTAACAGACACATGAGGAAATGCTCACGATTATTAGACATTAGAGAAATGCAAATCAAAACTACAATGATATATCATCTTAACCAGACATTAATGATGGCAGTAATTAAAAAAAAAAAAAAAAAACCGTGGGAGAGATTTCAGGGAGATTGAAACTCTTACGCACTGCTGGTGGGAATGTAAAATGGTACAACCACTATGGAAGATGATACGGTGCCTCCTTAAAAAGCTAGAAATGGAAATACCATATGATCCAGCAATCCACTCGTAGGAATATATCCTAGAGAAATAAAAGCTGTCACATGAATAGACATATCATACCCATGTTCACTGCAGCATTATACACAATAGCAAAAAGATGGAAACAACCTAACTGCTCATCAACAGATGAATGGATAAACAAATTATGGTACATACACACAATGAAATATTACACAACAATAAAGAACAACAATGAATCCGTGAAACACCGCACAACATGGATGAATCTGGAGGGCATCATGCTGAGTGAAATAAGTCAATCAAAAAAAGGAAAAATATTGCATGAGACTACTATTATAAAAACCCAAGAAAAGGTTTACACACAGAAAAAAACAATCTTTAATGTTTACGAGGGAGGAGACAGTGGGGAGGGCAAATCACTAACTAAACAGTAGACAAGCTAACTTTAATGAATGGAAAGACAATACACAATATATAGGGGAAGTCAGCACAACTTGACCAAAGCAAAGTCACAGAAGCTTCCCAGATACATCCAAACAATCTGAGGGGCAAGTTACTGGGGCTGAGGGCTGGGAACCATGGTCTCAGGGGACATCTAGGTCAACTGGCATAACATAGCTCATAAAGAAAATGTTCTACATCTTACTTTAGTGAGTAGTGTCTGGGGTCTTAAAAGCTTGCGAGTGGCCATCTAAGATACGTTTATTGGTCTTAACACTGAGCAAAGAGAATGAAGAAAACCAAAGACACAAGGAAAATATTAGTCCAGAGACTAATGGACCACATAAACCACAGCCTCCACCAGACAGAGATCACAAGAGGGTCCCAGACAAGAGTGGGAGAAAATTCAAATCCACAAAACCAAATGGACAACACCTGCCCAAAATCAAAGATGAGATGGTAGAAAGGGACAGGAAAACTGGATGAATGGACATGGAGAATCCAGGGTGGAAAGGGAAAGGGGGAGAGTGCTAACACATTGCAGGGACTGCAACCAAAGTCGCAAAACAATGTGTGTATAAATTTTTGAATGAAAAACTAATTTGCACTATAAACTTTCACCTAAAACACAATAAAATTTAAAAAAGAAGAAAAGGTTTTAAAAAGGGAGATAGCATTTAGCAGTGGGATAAAGTCACATACTTCTGGCTCAGTCACTTGGAAGGACCTCTTTTTATGCAGGGAATAAAACAAACTACTACAATCTTACAGATTTATATAACAAGTAATATAAGAAAGAGACATTTTTGCCCTGTCCCTGTTCACCTGAATAACACATAACCACATAGACATGGGGTAGAGATTAGAAGTAAAATAGGATCCAAAATGAGCTAAAAGAGGGAGTGGATTAAGCACTTTGTAGAAGATAAACTACACAAAATAAAAAAATATACTTACCAAATATGCTCATCTCAGAATGTAATAAACATTACAATGACTAAAAACGATCATTTTCAACTAGTGCATAGTCTGTTAACTTATCTTCCATTTGAAGATCTTAATGATAGACACCTGGTTTTCTTATGTTGTTATTTGGTACATTTCCCAGTTATGCTAACATTATTTGACTGGGAACATATTAGACATAGGGTGGGGCAGGAAGAACAGGGAAGAATATGAAGACCACAATATGATCTCTTATTCTCAGTTCCTAACTACACAGAAAATCCGCAATTAAATGACTAAGAGTTTGCTCAGTATTCAATAGTGAGCATTACTTGTTATTTTTTGTTGTGAGTATCTAGTATCTAGTATGTTCCAAGCCCTGTGCAAAGCACTGGGGATAGGGTAGAAAATAAGATAAATAAAGTCCCTGAGCTACCAGGGCCACGTTTATAATATTACGTCGGTTTAATTAAACAACAAAGCCCTGGTGGTGCAGTGGTTAAGAGACTGGTTGCTAACCAAAAGGTCGGCAGTTCGAATCCACCAACCACTCCTTGGAAACCCTATGGGGCAGTTCTACTCTGTCCTATAGAGTTGCTATGAGTCAAAATCGATTCAACAGTAATGGGTTTAATTAAACAACAGTACACTGGTAAGAGTTCAAACAGGAAAACAAAAAGAACGCTATGTATTTATAATGAATTTAATGCAGGGAATGGGACACAGAGGAGATAGAGAAAAGGGGCAAAGCCAAAATAGGGGACAGTGAGGCAACCAGAGATTCGCAATAGCAGAAAACCACTGTATCCCTAGCCCAGAGGGCAAAGGGAAGAAGCAATATCTGCAGGTAGAAGCTGGGGCCCTAGCAGGCCTTTATGGTGAGAGATGGACTCTTAGAGGAAGTGGAGCCACTGCCAGAGTCACTGCCCAAGGCAAAGAGGGTAAGGAAGAAATAACTTTCCTTTCCTGTCCAATCTCCAGGGGCAGCCCATGGGAATTTGGAAATGCAGCCTGCAAGAGTCAGCCTCCTTGTGATAGGGAGCAAAACAGTGGAAGTAGAACAGCAGCTCTGAGAGCAAACAGGCCCAGGACTGCACAAGTGGTAACACTGCTTACTCTAGAAAACACTATGTAGCATCAAAATAGTATATTTTCTTCTTAAAACTTAAGTACTTTAGAAGATTGACTTACGAGAGATTTGGATTATCTTCTGTTAAATTATTTTCCTTTCTTGTCAAGCACTTATAGAAAAAGCTACTAAAAATGTGACTTCGTTCAACAAGTTCATCTGATGCCTTCTCCAATATAAGATACCTGTGAAGTAGAAACCCCACAAAAGGCAATTATTCTCAGAAGATTCTACCTAGTCATACCCCAATTACTTTGTGTTCTGAAAATCTTATTTTTATATGCAATTAGATTCAAAGCAATGTTGCAATTTTTGCAGGTTGCTCTAATTGCAGCTTTCAGTTTATTCTTTAATTATTTCATCTTCCAACATCATTAAAACAGAAATTGTACACTTATTAATTCATTCTGAAATATTTATCAGATTCCTAACGTGCTAAGCACCATGTTCAAACTAGAGACACAATAAGAGAGGGAAAAGAAAAAAAAAAAGGGCACCTATCCCCATAAAACTTACAGTCCAGAGGGGTGAGGTTAGAATGAAACATTAATCAAATAATGATACAATCAAACGTAATACTGCCAACTAGGACACTCTAAATAAATCCAGAGAATTTTTAATCTCTAAATCCTTACGCCATTCCTATACTAAAACAACGTAAGCTTATAATTCAATCATTTAGTGATTAAACACTTCATAATTAAAGAACTCAACTGTTCTTAATAATCTATGCAGGTTCAAAACTGACCTTGTAATTAATAAAAAAATGTTTTTCATAAAAAAAAAATGTAGGTTGAAATGTTTTACATGTAGTTATGGAGAAGGTTGATTATCTGGAAAGGGGAAACAAGGGACTCTTCCGGGGTTCTCAAAATGTACTGTAGCTTGATCTGAATGGTTATCTCATGGGTGTATACACATGTAAACATATACATATGTAACTGCTGTACGGTTAAGATTTATGCACTTTACTACTTGCAAGTTATTCATCAACTTAAAAAATAAATAGAAAGTCATTTTTTAAATTGAGTTATAATCCCCTCCTAAGAGAAGTCAATAAGGCAAAGGTACAGGCAGTTCAGTGAAAAGAAAGTATAGGAAAATACAATTAAAACTGAATTAGAAATAAAATTTTATTAGCTAAGTTTAATAAAGCACACCAAAATTAACACCTAAGATGATTCAATTCACCCCACAAAATACAAATTTGGCACTATTATAGGGATACAAAAATAATTAAGATAGGGAATAGGAAAGGAAAGTCAATTTCTTAGGACACACTGAGCTTCTGCTAACGATGACGCAAAAATCTGGAAATGGATAATGATGCTAGCTGAACAATATGATGGACACTACTACTAAACTGTACACGTAAAAAACGCTGAAACGGCAAATTTTTTTAAATTTTATTTTGATGTTGTTGAGAATATACACATCAAAACATAAACCAATTCAACCATTTCTACATGTACAATTCAGTGACATTGATTACATTCTTTGAGTTGTGCAACCATTCTCACCCACCTTTGCAAATGTTGTTATATACATATTTACCATAATAAAAAAATTAAAAAATAATTAATATATAAAGATGCTCTGATAGTTAATGTGATGTGTTAACTTGGCTAGGCCGAGATTCTCAGTATTATGTTATTATCCTCCATTTTGTGATCTGATATAATTATCCTATATTTTGTGATATAATGCAATAATTTCCATGATGTGATATGATGTGATCAGCCAATCAGTCGTAAAGGGAGTTTCCCCAGGGGTGTGACCTGCACCCAATATATATATGGACATTCCAGTAAAGCTCGTTTGCTTGCTCTGGATCTTGTTTCCTGCTCATCATCATCTGACCTCCAGTTCTTGGGACCTGAGCCAGCAGCTTGTCATCTGACCTGCTACCTTGGGGATTCGCCATCTTCTGCAGCCCTGTGAGCCAGCAGCCTGCCATCTGATCTGCCAGTTCTGAGTTCATCAGCCCCTGCAACCACGTGAGTCAGGAGACGCCATCAGCCAATACCTGACCCACGGACTTTGGGACCTGCCAGCCTCCGCAAGTGAGTGAGCCATTTTCTTGAAATCAATCTCTTTCTCCCCCTCCCTTCCTCTCTCTATATACATGTATATATACATACACATATGTATGTGTGTATGGAGCCCTGGTGGCACCGTGGGTTAAGAGCTCAGCTGCTAACCAAAAGGTCGGCAGTTCGAATCCACCAGGTGCTCCTATGGGGCAGTTCTACTTTGTACTATAGGGTTACTATGAGTTGGAATCGACTGGACGGCAACGGGTTTGGTTTTTTTGGTTTACATATATATATATATATATGCGCTTCACTAGTTTTGCTTCTTTAGAGAACCCAGCCTAAGAGAGATGCTTAACCTTTAGAAGGAGAATGATCATAATACCCTCAAATAACTTTAAAATAAGATAGAATAGTGTAAGTACCATAAAAGAGATGCAAAGTATTATTGGAGTTAATAATACCTGTCTAGAAGACAAGGGAACTTTCATGAAGGTATCATTTGAGAGAAACAAGGCATTAAAGCAGTAGAGTGAATAAGGATGGAATTTGTTTTGTAAACTGTTTAGTAAAATTCAATTTTGCAGGATTATGTGATATGTATAGGGTTATTAGTAGAAGATGGATGAAAAGACAGATTAGTGTCATATTATCAAGAACCTCAAATGCCAAACTGTGTTTGAATTCATTTTTACAGGCAATAAAAAATTACTAAAAGTTTCTAATGGGAACTGCATTCATAGAGTAGTTTAAGTAGAATGGTGGTAATAATGTATTAGGAAAAGTGAGACAGACACAAGGGGACTACTTAAGAACATAAAACAATTTAAGAGAGATAAGGAGTAAAGGAAAGATAATGATGGCAGCAGAAAGAGATTAAAGGAATTTGAGAAACACAATCTACTAAACTTGATGTCTTAGTTATCTAGTGATGCTATAACAGAAATACCACAAGTGAGTGGGCTTTAACAAACAGAAATTTATTTTCTCACAGTTTGGGAGGCTAGAAGTACAAATTCAGGGTGCCAGCTCTCGGGGAAGGCTTTCTCTGTCAGCTGTGGAGGACGGTCCTTGTCTCTTCTGAGTTTCTGCTCCTGGGCGATCTTCACATGGCGTGGCATGAATCTTCCACCATCTCTGTTTCGCTAGCTTGTTTAATCTCTTTTATATCTCAAAAGAGACTGACTCAAGATATACCCTACACTAATCCTGCCTCATTAACATAACAAAGACAACCCATTCCAAACAAGATTATAACCAGAGGCAGAGAGATTAGGATTTACAACACATATTTTTGGGGGACACAATTCAATCCGTAACATTCCACCTCTTGGTCCCCAAAAATTCATGTCCTTGCTGTATGCAAAACACCTTCACCCCATCACATCATCCCAAAAGTCTTAAATCAACTCCAAGTCCAAGATCTCATTTTGTGAGTCATCTAAAATAAATATGAGTGAGTCTTCAGGCATATTCCATCCTGGGGAAAAACTACTCCTCGTCTGTGAACCTGTCGAATCTAGAATACAAGTTATCTGTTTCCAAAGTACAATGGTGGTAAAAGCACAAAGTAGACATTTTCATTACAAATAAGGGAAACCAGAGGGAAAGAAGGGATAACAGGTACCAAACAAGTCCAAAATCCAGCAGAACAAATTACATCAGCTCTCAAGGCTTGAAAATAATCCTCTCTTCTCTGAGAGGCCCTGCTCTCCAGACTCTGGGTGTTAGCCACGCCCTCTGAATTCTGGGTGGAGGCCCCTTGGCGTTCAGCTGAGCTTCCAGGCCCTCTGGGACGGCAATTCAGCTCCCTTGGCTTTAGGCGGCTGCATTCTCCCAGTCCATCTGAGTGGCGACCCCACCCCCTGGGCCCTGGCAGATCCTGTTCTATTGCCCCTTGGGCATGGACGCCCCACCCCCTCAGCTTTCAATGGTAGCCCCATCACCCAGCACACCTCAACAGCAGCCCCACACTCTGGAATCTAGTTGGCGAAGATCTGATTCTTTGCAACCTAGGAGGCTGTGGCCCCACCCTTTGAGATCCAGAAGACCGTGGCCCCACCCTTGGAAACAGAGAAGGCCCTGCTTCCCGTGCTCCATCCAACAGTTCTGCTGATCTCCGAGCTGCTCCAGGGGTGGTTCTTTTCTTGGAGGACAAGAGACGTAGCTCCTTTAGCCTGTTTCCTGCTTGTAGAATTCCAAGAGGCAGACAGCATTTTTTCCTTTCGTTCTTTCTCTGTCCCCTCCAGTCAAAGCTGATGGGTTTTCTGTTGTGGGAGTTGGTTAGATTCATCAATCACAGACTTAAAAAAAGACTGTGTAGCCACATCCTTGGTGAACATTCTGGGATCCATGTCTTTTCATTTTGCACAGTTCATTTTTAAGTCCATCTTTTTCCTCTCACGTGTTACTATAAGTGGCAAGGAGAAACCACGTGGCCCCATTAACATCTTGCTTAGAAATCTCCTCAGCCAGATATCCAACTTCATCACTTACAAGGTCTACCTCCTACCAAACATATTAACATAATTCAAACAAGTTCTTTGCCACTGCATAAATAGCATCGCCCTTCCTCCACTGTTCAATAACATGTTCATCACCTTCTTTTAAAGCCTTACCAGAAGCACATTTAATGTCTACATTTCTAGCAACATTCTGTTGCTGGTGCCGTATGCATTCTCTAAGATGATACAGACTTTCTCTATAGCTCTCCTCACTGCCTTCTGAGCCTTCACCAGAATTGCCTTGGACATCCATAATTCTACCAACAGTCTCTTCAAGGCAATCTAGGCTATTTACTATTAGGCACCTTAAAACTCTTCCAGTCTCTGCTTATCACCCAATTCCAAAACTGCTTCCACATTTTAGGTATCTGTTAGAGCAGCACCCTATGCTTCCAGTACCAAATGCTGTCTTAGCTATCTAGTGTTACTATAACAGAAATACAAGTGGGTGGCTTTAACAAACAGAAATTTATTTTCAAACAGTTTAGGAGGCTAGAAGTCCAAATTCAGGGTGCCAGCTCTAGGGGAAGGCCTTCTCTGTCGGCTCTAGAGGAAGGTCCTTGTCTCTTCTGAGCTTCTGATCCTGGGCGATCTTCATGTGGCTTCGCATCAATCATCCTCCATCTATGCTTTGCTCTATTGTTTAAT